CCATGCTGGGTGTCCCCTGCCACAAAGTGCGCCCCCCCCGCCCCCCGGCCCCGGTGGCTCCAGGCTGGAGTGGTCCTCGTCCCCCATCTCCCTCCCTCGGGGACACGTTCCCCACTAACAGGGGGGGCCAGTGCACCCGGGCAACAGGTGCCGGGGGGGGCCGCACCAAGAACCGCCTGCTTGTTTCCGTCTTCCCTCTTTCCCCTGCAATTCCCCAATTATTTGGGGAATTAATATATATACATATATTAGCAATAAATATATATATATATTTTTTTTTTTTTTCCCCGGCAATACCTCCCCTCCTGTGGGGGGAAGCCGGGCTGTTCCCAGGCGCTCTCCGAAAAGCAGCTTTTACCGGGAACTCGAGGATGCAACAACACCCTTCAGGAGAAACTCCCCCCCTTTCCCCAGCCCCCCGTGTGCGGGCATCCTCCATCCCCAGCCGCTTTCCCCCCTGCAAGCCCGGCCGGGCTCTGCCAGGGCTCCCCCGCACGGCGGTGGCCCCGGGGAGAGGTGGCTCCGGCCGGTCCTTGTCACCATCGCGGTGGCCGGAGATGCCGCTCCCTCCGTCAGCGCTGCCCCGGGGGCAGAGCAGGTTGGGAATTCCCCATCCCAGCTCGTCGGGGGGGTCTGTCCGCCTCTCCCACCTGCGGGTTGGGATCTTTAGGGTCTGAAATAATCCTGTTTGACCCGGGGGAGGGGTGTGCGTGTGGAGGGGGTCGCAGAACCAGGGGTACTCCCCGGGTACCGCTCTCCCCCCTCCGGCTCCCCGGGGCTGAGCCGCATCCCTACGGTGAGAGCAGCCCTTTAGGGAACGGAGCTGGGAGGGGGGGCTCGCCCCCTCCTCACCCCCCCCGCCAGCGTTGGGGCACAAGGGGGGCGCGACACACACCCATAGGTGACCCCACTGGGAAATGGAGCCCGGCATGGGGAGGTGGTGGGGTGTCCCCCCCCCGGGGAATGGGGATGCTGCGGGACCTGGCGGGCAGCGAAAAGGCTGGCGGAGAAAAAGCCGGTTTCCACCGGCGGCTCCCGCGCTCCCAGTGCCGTGCGGGGCATCGCGGGGCATCCCGGCGCCGGCAGACACCCCTCCACCCCCCTCCCGGGGGGGGCTCGGTGGGATCCGGGCTGCGGCTCGGGAACCGGGACACCTCGTCCTGCCGCCTTCCCCCGCCCCGTCTGAGGGTGGGCAGCCGGCGTGCCTCAGTTTCCCTACCCCCTTGCAGCGCTGGGTGGGGAGGCAGCCCGCTCCCCTGGCCGCTGCCCCCCCCTGCCCGGTGGGAGGAGGAGGAGGAAGGAAAAGACTGCTTCCTCCGCTATTTTTGGGCTGAGCTGTGCTGCTCCTTTAGCCCAGGTGGAGCCAGGATGCCTACCTCATCCCCAGCTGGGCTGGGGTGCCAGGGGACGCTGCGGAGGCCACGCACTGTCCCCTCCAGGACCCCCTCTTTTTCTGGTCCAATAATCCTGCTCTTCTCTCCCTACTGAGCCATGGGCAGGCAGCAACCCCAGCTCAGCCAGGCCCTGCCTGTCCTCTAATTAATGTAATTAGGAGAGTCTCTGGGCCAGCTGCCTGCAGCAGCAGTTGGAGCATCGTTTCCAGGTTCACCACTCACAGGCTTGGGGACAGATCAGGCAGTTTGGGGGTGGGGGGACGTTGTCCCTGTCCTGGGGCTGTGGGACAGGATGGGGATAAGGGGCTTGTGTGGATGTGGGCCTCACCCTGCGTCCCCAGCCCAGGAGCGGGCAGACCCCAGCTGGATGTGGGGGCTGTGGGGTGCAGGCATGGGGCAGAGAGGCCCTGGGCTCCTGCCAGTGAGCACCAGGGGACCTGTCTGTGCCACCCCCAGGCTGGGGTCCGAGATGCTGTGTCCTGTTCTCCCAGCTATCCATGGCCCTGGGACCACAGCCCCACAGAGAACTGCCCCATGGAATGCTGCCCCATGGCCCAGCACCCAACCAGGCTGGGCCCAGGCAAGTGTTCCTGGAATGGGGGTTCCATCCAGAAGGGTGATCCCCACAAACCACTACCCTGGGGACCCCCTACCCCCCCGAAAGAGCCGTGGGACTGCTCCCTGCACTCCACAGACCCCAGCACCCCCCAACCCCGCACCCGCTGGGGGCGACCCTGAGATCCCTTAGCACCCCCCAGCCCTGTCCCCCCAAGTCTGAGCCACCCCAGGGCTTGGGATACTCTCTAGCCATCGCCGTGGGGAGGGGGACGGTCCCTCCACCCCCTCCTCCTTCTCAGGCGGGGTGGCAGCCCCGGCAACCGGGGTCGGCTGCGCCCTTTTGCGGGGGACACACAGCGCGGGGGACACCCCGCTTTTCGGTGGGCCCCACCACCAGCCCTGGCTCCTCCTTCAAGCAGTTCGAGGCCGGGCCAACGCGAAGGCGGAGGGGGGGGAGGCACCGCCCCGCGCCGGCCGGCATCGCCCTTTTAAGAAAGGGGAAAAGATCGG